TTCAAATACTCGACATTCAATGATTAATCTTCCTTTTGTGTGCACACATGTACCCTTTGTGGTTTCCGTTCGTGCCGAAATTTCGAAATCTCCGAGATATGGCGAGGCCATGAGAATGCGAGGCGAGGGTATTACTGTTGTGGCGACGCCACTCAAGCTAAGCGAGCCTCAGCAGTATAGTCCGCTGCTCTCTGCTGTGCGTGCTTCAGCGCGAACATGTACGCAAGCGCGTCTTTTGATTTGAAACCAATCAGCGCCGACGCAGACGTCACACACCCGACATCGCACACGACAACAGCTAAGCTAAGCTAGCCAAGACGACACTCGAAGTCGGACGGACACGTTTTTCTGCCAATCTGTGTGTTTCCCTTTTTGTCCAAATATATTTTTTACGACAACTGTCTTGTCCACGGTGTCTTTTATTCGTTCCACTGGGGTTTAGCAAGTGTGTTTATAAAGAGACGAAAATCTCTTTACTGTTACTAGTGTTAGTGTCTCTACATGGCTACGCTCGTGAAAGCAAAACAACGAACTCAAACGAGTCTTCGTTCAATGTTGTCAACTAATATCCGGATTAATGTGAGGCATTTTTTCCTCAATTCTCCGGAGAGATTTTCATAAAAATTTGAAAAACCCGGAATTCCGGGAAAATCCGGAGGACATTCATCTCTGATTTATTTAGACTTCAGAAATACTGTAAAGTTCAGGCTAAAAACTAGCAAAAAATAAAATACGTGATATAAATCAGGATGTATTGTATTTGTATTGTATTCCTCTGTAATTATTGTGAGAAATCATTAACATGATCAGTCTCTTCCCATCGAGGAATATAAATTAGGAATGACTATTTTTTAAGGTAATTTGAGTGAATTTGTTCTTCCAGGGATGTGTATGCAACTGATAGCCATTCCCAATTTTCCGTACCCCAAGAAGTAGCTCTCAGTTTTGAAAAGGATGGTGGACCCTGTCGAACGGATCCACAGTAATAGGTACAAAAATTCCGGTGACCTTCTCCCTTACCTTTTTTCTTTTTTAGCTTCCGCCGCCGCTGCTTATTGACAAGGCAGGCTGCCATTGTACTGAAAAGGATGGCTGCAGCCAAGAAGCAGATGGTGGCTACGATGCCAGCCACAACTGGTCGCGCCAACCCTGATTCCTCAACCAGCTCTGGAGGAGGAAAGAAGTCTGCGGAGTAAGAAGAACCGTCATGTCATGAATAGCAAGAAAAAGATAAACAAGAAGATAAGAAAGAAAAATGCATAAGCAAAAACAAGTGTATGATGATGGTGGTTAGTTACGCAAATGCTGGTAGTTATCCCGTCCTTGTGTTCGTGTGGGCTCCCATTGGGCACAATGAGTCCCGAAGAACAGGACCTTAAAATGTTTGAACGTGTGAATGTGAGCATGAACGGTTGTATCTCACTATGGGTCAGTACGATGATTGATCCAGCTCCTCGGCCCAAGTCAGCTAAGTCAGAAAATGGCCTTCTGTGTCGCTACCTAGCAAAGAACTGTATAATCTAACGGTTGGGGGCAGCAGAGAACTTAAAGAGTACTTGAGCCAGTCAGAAACTCTCCTGATTGTTTGCTGCTTTGAGTAACTATTATGTACTTGCGTCATACATCAAGTTTTTGAGAGGTTTAAATTTAGATGAAAGCTGGCATACTGCAACTATAAATGGTTGCAGAATGTGTCTTTGAATTCTGACGATAAGCATACAACCATGGTCTAAAGCAGGGATACTCAATTTCAAATCTGAAAGGGCCACAAAAAATGTTTAGTTGGTCAAAGGTCCATTTATTGGGGTTGGTCAAGCCACAGTCGATAATACTGTAACAGTCAAAACAACCAAAAAATATGAGCTAAATCAATTTTCACATTCAGTAAAACAAATAGTAAAACACGATCACTCTCATGAATGCAAATATATCACAAGTGGGTTCAGAGCATTTTTCGTTTTTAATGTCACAAAAAAAAAAGAAGCTCAGGAATTGCAAAGCTAACACACGCTAAAATCAAATGAAAGAATCACTCTTTTATTGTTTCAGCATCTGAGAATTGTTTATTTTGCTCACACAAACTCTATCCCTCTTCAAAATTCCTATGCTTCATCTCATAATGATGTTTCAAATTGGGAATCTTTATCACAGTAATACTCGTTGTCTCCTGGCATATGAAGTACAAAGGTGGTCAATTAATTTCAAAATTCAGTCCATTCTTGTTTGAATTGCCGAATTTCACTGTCAACAATATGCTATCTGCTCCTAAAACAAAAGTGCACGGGAAGTAGTGAACTGAGTGACCCAGTAAACAGGCTGACTGTGTGTCGTTGGCATGGAGACACAAGCTGCTCCAACCAGACAACACATGGTTTTCACAGCGGGTGGGGCTGCTCTGTTGGGCCATGGCTTGGATGAAGGAGCACTACGCTGTGCTAAGTGCAGTATGAAGAGGCTTACAGTGACGAACAGTTATGGGCCCACGAATAAGCTTCTAGCAGGATGGAAGCAGCCCGGGGGCTACTTATTGAGGTTGTGGGATGATATCATGGTGAAGAATGATGCGGTGAGTGTGCAAAGTGAGGCAGTGTAACATTTATGAGTATGTAGTACATAAACCTGATATATTATACTGCATATCAACATAAATGGTGCATTTGAAAAGTATTCATTATTTATTATTCTTTTAATCTACATTTTGTCATGTTACAGCCTGATTCCGAAAACTGTGTCCATCCATCCATTTTCTGAAACGCTGTTTGGTATTTCTATGCGCCAGTTGATGAAAGCTATCAGCCGGGCAACATTGTACCCTCTGTCAGTCTTCATTGACTGGACGGTGACATGACAGTGCTGCAGGGTATCATTCGAAACATCAACAGTGAGGTCTTCACTTTTGTCAGTTTTTTGTGCAAGGAAGTGTCTCAGCATTTTTTGATCGTCGATTTTGTTGTTTTCTTCACGGTGATTTTATCCTTCTTATCTGCAATTTCATTTAAATCTTACAATATTAAGTATTTTTTCCACTTCTGTCTCATCCCTTCACCCCCACGCCCCCAATTCCTCAGCGTCATTTGAGTCAATAAAAGTTTTATAATCACCAAATAAAGTAAATTATTAAATTACTCATTATTGTATTAAATTCGCTCATTTGTGTTTTCAAAGTATGACACGGGCATTTATCAGAAAATCTGACTCTGGCAGGTTGCTAGGTTTGCTCACATAATCCAAAGATACTTCACATTAATTTGGAACAATGTGATGATTTTTGAACAAGGACTATTTGAGACGCTTCAAGGGTGTAGATGACCAGCTGACAATGTACGTCAATGTACTGTATTTTCCACACTATAAGGCGCACCTAAAAGCATGAAATTTTCTCAAAAGCCGACAGTGCGCTTTATAATCCGATGCGGTTGATATATGGATCAATATTCTGAATTCTTGGACGTAGTATTTGAAATGTTCTGTAAAGCGCTTTTTTAGAGCTGCAGCGGTTTTGAAAGCTCTATATAAATGAAACTTTATTGTATTGTATTGTATTCCCTTTAGCGTCGCTCCATCTAGTGGATGCATAACGCAACCACAGCCACTATTGTAGCTTCTATCTATGCGCCTTATAATGTGGTGCACCCTATCGATGAAAACAGTTTTAAAACAGGCCATTCATAGAAGGTGCGCCTTATAATAGGAAGCGCCTTATAGTAATAGATCCTATTTACAGATACAAATGTGCTCATTGAGACCATCAAAGCAGCAGAGATTTTCATACAATTCCTCTGACTTCATGGTCAGGTTGTCCCTTGAAATGCTCTTCTTGACTACAGGCTCTCACATAGACAGGTTTCTGCCTTTCCAAATTCAGTCCAATCAACTGAATTCACAGCATGTGTAGTCAAAGTTTTTAAGGAAGTTGAGCTAATACTGCATTTCATCTCAATCAGGACTGTTTTGTCTCTAGGTTTCTAAATCAGCATTCCACAGCAGAACTCCTTACCTGTACTGGACACACCGACTATGTTGCTTGGCTCACTGATCGTGTCATCCATGACGGCCATGACACGGAACTCATACCAGGCCTCCTAAGAGAAGAAGAACAAGAATGTCAAGGTTCAACCATCATTAACATTCTACCTGTGTGTTTAAACAAACCAAAGCAAATATTTTGCTTCAACCTCCAAAATCATCACTTTTCAGGAGACCCCAAAAACATTGCATCATCAAAGACAGCAAGCCATTTTCAACACTTTTGGTGTTGGTCAATAATTTGTAAAAACAACACCCAGACATGGGGGACTGCCTAATAGTATGGATGTGTGAAAAAATATGAATTGATTGTCCATTTTTGGTCGTTAAGTAGTGTTATTTGATATTGTTCTACACTTGAACTGTCGAATATAAATGTTTGAAATGAATTTTAAAAATGGCCAAGAATAAAATTAAATTGGATGTTAATGAAATTATCCTGGTCAGTACCAATGCTTTCAAACTGGCAATTCAAAAGCAATGAAAAAAAAACAGCCAGCAAACATCACACCTTACTTCAATAACATAACTATACAGTGGTAACACTCCCTCCGAAATTAATTGGAAATTTCTTAACTCGAAAATTTTCTAAGTAGAGACGCATTTGTAAATGCCCTAATCCGTTCCAAGCTCCCCAAAATTCAGAAATAAATGTTTTCTAAAGCATAAAAATGCATCAAAATATGTAACAAATGCATGTTAATTGGATTATTGCACAATAAATGAGAGTTGTGCATAATGTAAAAAACAAAGAATAAAGGATAAAAATTATGGTCATTTAACTTTTTTTAAATTTTAACTGCATCCTCATCGTTTTTTGGCCTCTTTTGTCCATGTTCTCTCTCAGAAGTGGTTTTTGCCTGGCGTTTTGGAAAGAACAGATCAAAGGATGTTTGCTTTTGTCGGCTTTTAACAATCCTTTGAAAATGTCCAAGGCAAAAATCAGCATAGTGAGTGCTCACCCAACTGGTGAATACTTTTTCTGGGGATTCACATTTACATAAAACTATCGGAACACCTCTTGGCCTGAGGGCGATTGACGAGGACGCTGCATAGACACATATCTCTTTGTATATCTATACACGTGGACACACACAGTAGAGGTTCCCTCTTAGCCAATGGGATGCCAGGATAATGCTCAGTAATAGTCGATGGCAGAGCAGCTACAAGTATGTTGCGTTCAAGAAACTCTGACCTGCGAGTAGTAGGCCATACTGTATTTTTACCTTTCGTATCTTGAAATTTCTTTCGTAACTTAAGGCAATATTTTCCTGTTGAGGCGTTTCGTCACTTGAAAATTTCGTATGAAGAGACGTTCGTAAGTAGAGGTACCACTCTATATAAAAAAGTTGATGTCATCTTAGTGAAATAAGCAACAAGTCGTAAAAAAGGTTCAAGCATGTGTGTGTCGTGCAAGCGTGGAGAAGAAATCTGAGTGGGTGTCAGCATCAGACAGACGCTCAAACGTGTATTACAGCAGAATCAGTTCAACAAGCAGTTGAACAGAAATCGATGTGACGTCAAGAACGTCAGCGTCAGAACTTTAGTCATTAAAAATATGTTGATCTTATTTACCTCACACATATATTTGAAGGAGACTTCTGAAAATGATATTCATTATTTGTATTGATTCATTTTACCTGCAGTGTGGGCGCAACTCACTTAGTGCTTTGCTCAAAAAGAGCGTCTCTTGTGGATTCTTTCAGCACGAGGGGCAGTCAAAATCCTTGCATGACACAACTATGCCTCTGCGTCACTTGCAAACTGTTACCCCATCAAATAATGTAGGTGTTTGAGCACATTACCAACAAACCTTTCGGTTTGGAAGAGTGTTACATGCACAGTGAAGCAGTGAAACTCAGTCTTCTGTATTTACCTGGATGAGGTCACGAGCGAGCATCTCTGTTTCGCCTGAGGGGATGCCGTCATCCAGAACCTCCCATCGTTCCCCTAAACGAAACTCCATAACGTAATGCTGGATCGGTGCTGTGTGATTGGCGGGCGGGATCCAGGTAAGAAGGACTCCCTGCTGCGTGCGATTGGCTGTGAGGCACCGTGGTGGGGTAAGCAGCACCAATGGTTCAGGGGTACTTATAGGAAATACTGAAAGAAGACATTTAAAATTCCATGGTTAAGACATGAAATGAATGCTATGTAAGAAGTTGTAGCAGCATGACAGCAGTGAAACATGAGCCAGTTCCTCTTTAGATCCGACAGCTAAATTAACTATGAGAGTGACTCAGTGCAATAAAAGTTTTATTTGACAAGGATCTCCTCAGAAACCATTACCATCATCTAACTTCAGTTATACTTTGAAAACCATTGCATGAACGCAACCCTTGGCTATTGTAAAGTCGTTCTCTCTAAGGTATTTACCGTATTTTCCGCACTATAAGGCACACCTAAAAGGACTAAACTTTCCCAAACACCGACAGTGCGTCCTGTAATCCGATGCGCCTTATGTATGGTGTTACACCGTCTTTTTATATTCCCCATTGAGTTGTTTCCCTGTTCATGTCCCTATGCCTTCTTGTGGTGATTATTAGCAGGAAGCAATTGTAACCTAAAAGGGTTCTGCCCGACACTAATTGACATGTGCATTCGCCAACACACACTCAAACAGACAACTACTTTCTGAGCTCTGCGCAGCCATGATGAAACCAAAATAAAACCAAAAGCATAGTTAACTACTGACCAAACGAAGGAAGGAGACAAGTAAATTCTCTTCACACTCTATGGTTGCACACCACACAGAGAACCAGATCACACAAATGCAGGCATGCAAAGCAGAGATGTCAGAGTGAAAGTAGGACACAAACTTTTGTACGATCATCCCTTTGTCCTCGGCAAGAGGCACCAAATATGCTCACCTAATGTGTTCACAGTGACAACCTCGCTGAAGGGTCCTGTGCCAAGCTTGTTTTGGGCTAGGACGCTGCACTGGTATGTTGTCTCGGGCTCCAAGCCAGGCACCACCATCCACTCTTGGCCTCCTGGCACAGGTACAGAGAGCCAGTCGTGTGGACCTAAACGCTCCCTTTTTAGCCTGCACATGAGTCAGGGTGAGAAGTGAGCTGGACAGGCAGAGACTGGGACAGTTACATCTATATTTCATTTGACTTTGTAGGATATAATTCAATGCCCATGATATCTTGTTATTATTTCTATCATTTATTTATGTATGTATACAATATCCTATCCAACATTCTTCAACATTTTCCAAAACATGTAAATAGAACATTCAGTCAACCTTTATCCAAAATGACCTAATTTCCCTTTACACCAGTCACTCACAGTATAAACTGATGACAATCAATTGCACTTTCACTTGATGGGAAGCCCATGCTGCAGTTAGCTTTGCATTTTTATTGTTTGCCCAGGCCATACAATCAGGAGCTGATATGATTAGCAAAAGATGCACATGCAACAATCTTGTCAAAACAATCGTTACAAATCTTTCTTATATTTACAATGAAAAAATACGGACCTGTATTTTTGGGGTCATAAAGAGATACTTAAAAGGCATCCTAAAAATATTTCGCCATTTTCAGCAGTAGAAAGATAATATTTTGTCGATAATGAATTTGCTCAGATTATTATTCATTTATTATGACAGAGCTTATACGGTGAGAGAAATGGTTAACATTGTTAGGTTATCGAAACACATGGAGAATATGAACTACAGTTAAGCAGAGCAAAGCAGCAACAGCAGCAGCAGAGGTCAAGGAGTAATTCCTAAACTCGGGGTACAAATTTGAGAAATACCAATTTAATCTGCATTTAATATTTTATTTGAAAAAAAAAAACTTCTGAATATACCCCAGAAGAAAATAGTTTTAGAAATAAATACGACGAGAAGGAAAAGCAGGAAGCGAAGCAGGCTGGGATGACTCACACATGGCCGTACCAGACTGAGAATGTCTGCTGGAATCCTCCGTCGTAGCCCACCTCCCATGACACGTTGGCCCAGGTGGAGGATGCCACCACGTGGACGCTGGTGGGTGCATGGGGGCTTGTGCCTGCAGGTAGGAGAAGCAGTAGGACTTGTTGATAAAACTGCATGTGAGTCATCGAAACTGTCTCTGTTAGGTTGACAACATGCAACATAATAAGCCACTCAAACAAATCATATTTGTCACAATAAAGTCTCCTTAAGTGCTAAAAACAAACCTGTTATCACATAAAAAACTGGAATACGACAGAATACTTTGGTTATTAATAGAATACACATTACATATATTAGAAGAGTAAAAGCATCCATTTTGAGGAAAACCATTCAATAATGAAGAACGCAGCTAACAATTTTGGAGCACCAAATGTTCTTGTCATATGTATTTTTCCCAACCCCCCCAACTTTCTGGATGAATTTCAGAGATTTAAAGTACACCTTTGCAAAATATGGCCTGTGGGACACATCCGCACCGTCCACAGTCCCTGAGTGTCTCTTGCAGCCTTTATGTAGCCAAAAATTTATTGAGTGACCTCACTGATCATCCTCGCAACCATTTCATCAAAATATCAAATAGCACCAACCAATGTTGCCTTGAAGCTGCACACGTGCGCACTGCTATTACCTGGTGACGCTGGTGGGCACCACGGACATTACATTTCAACACACCATCCTTCATTTCAACCCCAGTTGAATCTACAAACAGGACACTGCACCATTCCCACTTTCCTGACAGTTTCAGTATTACGACTGCGGGTGCTCGCTCAGTTATTCAACTATGCTTTGAAGCATGTACTTCACTCTCACTCACCACTGATGTGACACTGCAGGCAAAACGCCGATCATTCCATTCAGGAAGTCTGAACATGGGCGTAGTTTTTACGAGACAGTTTCACACGTTTCAGAGCTCACGTGACTAGATCAATATTTGTGTTTTATTAAATGATGTTTTCCATTATTGATGAGTGGACAATATGAGACCAGATTGATACTGATTGTATTGAGACTTTATTAATTTTGTTGAAAATGTCGTGGTGCTAAAAGAAAAGTAACACACCAGGGCTGATTTTATTCATGTCACAAATCTGTCTTCAATGATGTGTTCTATTTAGATATGTCGGTGGTTTGAACTCTTTTGCAACATATCTACATCATATAACTTTATGATCTCAGGTTTTGGATAGGTGTGATACCTGAACTTCCTCCTTACAGGACTAATATTTTTTTTCCTTCTATTTCACATGTTGTCTCTCTGAGCTGGAGACTCTATCAGCTAATCAATGTCTCTTCTATTCCCTAAATCCCTAAAAACAATAGTTACTGATATGGCAAACCTGTTCCGTTGTCCACGTCCATGAGGGTGGAACTTGTGTGTTACTGTTTAGAACAGTCGAACCTCGTGACAACGTACCTCAAGGGACATAATGAATCTGTACGTTATAATGGTGGTTCGCTGTAACCATTTCCAACAAAATGGCCGCCAATGACGATGTATAATACAGTATGAACATTCATAGGTGTAAAAACATGAACATGTATAAACATCCGTGTATACAGTATGAAGAAAAAATGATTTAATAAGACATGGAACAAACAACGGTAGCATTCCTACTTCATCTCTGAAAACATTCTGTCAGCAAATGAAAATTGCCATCTCCAGTTCAGGATATGCCGCACCCCGAAGCCGTTTACGATCATCTTTCAATCCACTGCCCACAAAAATCTGCCATGGTTTTGTTGCCATTAAGGATGATTGTCGCAATTGTTGACTTTTCCAAAACGTCGTCTCAGCTGAGCTTTGTCTGGGAGACTCTCTTTCGAAAGTGAGAATTTCAGCCTTCATAGACATCGAGGCAGCGAGATTGGCTTCTGTTTACCAAACATGTTTTCAGACGACGTGCCCAGGACCGCACCGTGCCTCCAGAAGTACAACAATGTATGAGTCGATCAGTAGCGTTGCTAAGTAACGGAGGGGAATCCCGCACTGTACACTTTGTTTACAAGGAAGGTCGCAGCGGCAGTTCGCTTCCCATGGTTCGTTTAAACTATTTTGTGGGAAAAATCTGGTTGTTATAATGAAGTTTATGTTATTAAGGTGTAGGTCAGTGTTGTCAAACTCAAGGCCCTGGGGCCAGATCTGGCCCGCCACATTATTTTATGTGGCCTGCGAAAGCAAATCAAAGATGTCATCTTCCATGATGTGTGCTAAAATCTCTACCAACATTTCAAATCCTCATTTGTAATAAATATGAGTGATACTGCAAGCATTTTCTTGTTACCAAACACCTCATTACAGTCACTTAAACAATAGGTGAATAAACCGTTATTCTTGTCTTCTTTAAATTATTTCAGTCACAACGGCCCTCCAAGGGAACCTCTAACTAAAATCAGGCCCGCGAAAGAAAAAAATGAGTTTGACACCCCCAGTGTAGGTGGTAAGCAAAATTGGCAAATAGAAAATGAATTACGTGAAATTAGGACTTTGAAATGTGAACGTTATAGAGGTAAGAACGTAAACGGTGTACATTAAAAAGAGGATCGACTGTACAGACGCTCCCCAGCTTACGAACATTCGTGTTACGAACAACGGTACATACAAACATTTTTGCGGGTACAGGTATGTCGAAAAATGTTCTCGGACAGAGATGCTGTAAGTTAGATTTTGTATTGCGCGCCTTTTTCCGAGTACTGTAGTACTTCTTTCCGCCGCTAACACCGACGCGAGGCTGTGAGAGGAGGAGGAGGAGGAGGAAACGCCTGTCCCCATGAAGAAGTTTGAGACGGAACTCTTGGCCGAGGGGTTTTCGCTCATAGATGAAGCCATCGCACTCTTCGAGCAGCAAGACCAAAATATTGAACGTTGCACAAAGGTTGCAAATCAAATGAATGATGCCATACAGTGCTACTGCATCATTTATGATGAGAAAAAGAAGAAAACTGTGCAATCGTCCATCAACACACGACAAGATGGCGCCCGAGTAGGCAGCCTTCTGCAAGTGCTCTTCAAGAGCCTTGCTTTTTTGTTCTTTTTTGTTGTTTTTGTCTTTTGTTTTGTCACATTTTGTTTGTTGTTTCATCGTGTGGACCTGATATGGACTGTTTTCAGCGTTTTTTGGCCACGACATTCGTCAAAGGAGAAGTATCTGTGCTTGGTGGTTGCGCCTTCTCGGCAGCACGCCTGTACCAGCACAGATTTTGATTGGGAGGAATGTCGGCGCCATTGACTGTTGGTGCTGGACAGACCTGGGGCGCTTGTGTTTTTTGCGCCTGTAATGGGCAGCATTTTTCACAACCCCGTTTTGTTCAGTGGAGATGTCGGCGCTGTTGGACAGTCGGCGTTGGTGCGGCTGGATGGATGGCTTGAAGTTGAGGATGAGGAGAGAGGAGCGTTGGCGCAGAGCGCCGATGCGTATTTGGAACCGAGAGTCGCCGCTTGGAATTGAAATGGATTTCGTCTATGGATGCTACAGCTTGTTGACTTTGAAACTTAGCTTGTAGCCAACGTGTGCACATTTTGAGCATGATGTCTCTGATCCACTGGTGAAAGGACACTTTGATTCTCTCCTCTGTCATCTCAAACTGCTTCAAACAACAAAGCGTGTCCCGGAAAAGTGGTTAGGACTGCATGACTGTCCGTGTTTTATGTTATGTGTTGTGTTTATTATTTTACTTTGTGTTAACTGTTTTGTTAAGCGCTTTGTTACAGCTGCCGCTGTTGTGAAAGCGCTATATAAATCAGCATGTATTGTATTGTATTGTATCATCTTCTTAAGCCTTCGAGTACATCTTCCAAAAGTAAGTTGAACTTCATTTTATTATACTTATATAAACCTTAAACATACTTATATAAGCCTTAAACATACATTCCATACAAAATATAGCACTGAAGCAACTTACGAACGAATTCAGCTAACGAACGATCCTTCGGAACGTATCTCGTTTGTTAGCTGGGGAGCGTCTGTATACGGTTTGTATTGGTCTGTTTATTTTGTAGCCTGGTTTGTCAAACAGATGCATAAGCTAAAGACAAAATGTGTGTAGAACCGTATGAACTTAATTTAGTTGTATTGCTGCAACTAGTGACTGTTTTCTGTTTAAATGTGTGCAATGCACTGTATATGCATTACCTAAGACTTGGACATGCGTGCTGGCAGTGATGCTTGTAGCAACGTTGGTGGCAACACACTCCCATTCCCCATGGTCCTCTTTTGTAAGTGACTTGAACTGTAAGCTGCCTCGAGGCAGAACATTGTGCTTGCTCTTGCTGGGCTTTCCGACCTGCAGATCACACAAACATCGGACAAATAAAGACGATTGAATACTGTAGAATCCAATAATTAAAAAAAAAAAGAAAATTCTCCAAAACAGTTGTACACACTTGCAATAATTTGACCAAAGTAATATTTAAGACAAACTTTTATGAAAAAAAAAATACTGTGTCCAAAATATTTTGTAAATGCTGATATCATTCGAGTGACAAAATTCTTCAGAAAGAATAAAGAGTCATGCATTTAATGAATGCTGGTTGTTTCCTTAATTCTAAATATTCTTTGCCGTTGCTGTATTTCTGTACTTATATCGAATTTGTTCATAATTTAATATTTTCTCAAGCGAAGATTAAAAAAAAAAAACATTGCTCAGTACGTCATCCGGTTCCATACAATTACATTGTGACAATTAAGCAAAAAAGAAAAAAATCCACAAAGAATCAATATAACGTTAAAACTGAAAGTCAGCCAGTATATGATCACCGAATATGGTGACAAAAGTGTGAATGCTGTTAATACATACCTTCCTCCATGTTATATTGGGAAAGGGGTCTCCTTCTGCCTCGCATGGGATAACCAGTTCTCTCCCAGCCTCCTGTCTGTACTCCCCTCCAGGGACCACTGAGAATTTGGGAGGGTCCTGCACAGGTTCAAAGTCAGATTACAGATTTGCAATTTTGTTTTGATACCCTTCCACATGACAAAGTCAGAGACGTAAAATAAAAAATAAAAAAATCAACTATCAAAGCCTGGCACCAGGAAACAAGCATATGAACATTTAAATGTCACCTCATGACAATGGCCAGAACTTTTGTGTCCGTCAATCTAATTATCACTTTGCATGCCCATGAGATTCTACTCTTAGAATATGTAATCTTTGACAAATATTTCTGGTCTGAATGACGAATGTCATTCCGTCAATCAAATAATTAAACTTCAGAATGACAATGCTACATAAGAATAATCTGACCGGCTTTAAAACTTTAAAAATAAGAAGAAACAGCAAATGTACCTTTAGCACCAGGGGAGCAGGAGGGGACCATCCCATGGAGCCCAGGGCATTATAAGGCATGCAGGTATAGGTGCCGAGAGAGTCCTCTGTCACCTCTGCCACGCGGATGCTCCCATCGTTCATTTGGCTCCAACCAGGATACTGAAGAGGTAAGTAATTCACAAATTTTAATCCCAATTATTAATGAATATACATCCATTTGTGTGTGTGTGTGTGTGTGTGTGTGTGTGTGTGTGTGTGTGTGAGTGTGTGTGTGTGTGTGTGATGATATATTTACACTCTGGAGTGTACAATACAATACAATACATGCTGATTTATATAGCGCTTTCACAACAGCTGTAACAAAGCGCTTAACAAAACAGTTAACATAAAGTAAAATAATAAGCACAACACATAACATAAAACACGGACAGTTGTGCAGTCCTAACCACTTTTCCGGGACACGCTTTGTTGTTTGAAGCAGTTTGAGATGAAAGAGGAGAGAATCAAAGTGTAAAATGAATAAGATGCATTAGTGCTTCTCCTTACCTTCTCTATCCGGAGAGGGAGACCATCTTTCTTCCACTTAACTAATGTTACAGGCGGGTTGGCATCTACAGGACATCGGATGAAGCCCGGCAGACCAATGGCCACATAGAGTACAGATGGCATGTTTACAACACGAGCAGGATCTACTCAAAAAGACATCACAAGAAAGGACAGCGGTGGTTTCTTTGTAATAAGGGTAAGGCGATTGCTGTGGATAGATTGTTTGAAGCGATGCTTAAAGGTCAAGTGTGAAGTAATTCTAAACAATCCCAAATGAAATATTTTGTATCCATCGATCCATTTTCTAAACTGCTTATCCTCACAAGGGTCACAGGCATGCACCTCTGTACTCTGAGGCCAACGAGCTAACCGGTTGACCAGCGTGCTGCCGTAATATTTTTATGTCACAAGTAACTAAGCAAAATACATTAAATAAAGAATGAAAAAATATTTCTCTTGCGTAAATTTGACAAAGTAACCATTTTCCCAAAGTGACATGATGAGTGACCAACCTGCAAATGTGACGTCACTTCAAGACAAGAATAGCATGGGTCACTATGGAAAGTGTACAAAGCAAGTGAGAAATCAATTCAGAAAGCGATGTTTCAAACTTATCTGACGGGATCCTGGCGTTTGAAAAGTTGGAGGAAGAGGAGGTTGTTGGCTCGATGGAAGCTGATGTACGTACGCTCTTACACATGTAAGAGCCTGATGCTCAGAATGATGAAAATGTGCCCGAATGGCCGGACATGGAGTGGAGATGTAACCCATCTGGATTTGAAGAATGGTAAACTATATACCGTATTTTCCGGACTATAAGTCGCAGTTTTGTTCATATTTTGGCCGGGGGTGCGACTTATGTGTAAAATTATTAACACCTGATTATGTCATTTCACATGTTATTTTCACATTAAACCACAAGAGGGAGCTCTCGGCCTGTGTTGATAAATCGACGATGAGTCTGACGTAAGCGACGTAGAAGAGGAAGCGGCGCATCGTCTACCTCCCGAGTTGAGGGAGTTGTTTAAAAATGACACAGAGGATGAAGATTTCATTGAATTTAGTGATTTGGAGTAAAACTGATAGTTTGGTAAACTTGTTATGTTCTTCATGCTAGAGTTATCTGAATAACTCTTAATATGTTACGTCGTTACTGACATTACCAGGCATGTCAGTCATGTAACGTTAGTATACCGTACACTGATTCAGCCTGTTGTTCTCTATTTTATTTTTATTTTAAATTGCCTTTCAAGATGACATGTATGTTTTTGGTGTTGGATTTTATCAAATAAATTTCCCGTAAAAATGTGACTTAAACTTCAGTGCGACTTATATGTTTTTTCCTTCTTAATTATGCATATTTTTTGCCTGGTGCGATTTATAATCGGGAGCGACGTACAATCCGAAAAATACGGTAGATTGCAGGTTTTAGCCTAGCGTTATTGGTTGCAATGTGATGCTGTGCCGCGCTGCCAACAATGGGAATACATATTTGGTCCATGTATTCCCGCTAGCACTCAAAGCATAGTGGGTTGGTGTCCTACATTGTCATTGCGATGGTAGTTCTGTTGCGTTGTCGGCCACTCCACACATTACATCGGCAGCATTGTTAGTTGTAAACCATTACAGAGGATGCCATCCATGCACTCATACAATTTGAATGTTTTCGTACAGGACGTGGTCTATATGGCCCTTATAGTTTTTTATTGAAAGTAAAAAGGGTCTAAAACAGAACAAGAAGATGGTGGTAAAATTATGAAGATAAAGAAAACGATCCACAATTACCGTATTTTCACGACTATAAGGCGCCATTAAAAGTCTTAAATTGTCTCCAAAATGGACAGGACGCCTTATAAGGCGGAGCGTCTAGTGCATGGGTTGTCAAACGTACGGCCCGCGGGCCGGATCCGGCCCCCCAAGGACTTTAATCCGGCCCGCGAGATGATTATGTAAAGCAGTGGTGTCAAACATACGGTCCGCGGGCCGTTCATCAGGCCCACAGGATAATTTAAAAGTGAAGAAAATGCATAAAAGACACAGAATAAATATTTTTAATAAGGTGCAATTCATTGAGTATCCGCTAGGGGACGCTGTTTTGATCAGAGAAGAAGACAACAGCAGCCTCAGTCCATCACTGAGACAGACCCATGACAGCAGACGCTATCAATAGCACTCTCACATTTACACATTTAATAGCACGCTCCTTAGTTTGTAAGGTGTAGGCAGGGATTACATTTAGATTTTATATGCACGTGTAAATGGTTTAAAACTTCCTTTCTTTATAAATCTCGTTTAATCTTAAAGTGCATTACTCTATTTTTCAAAACCAATTACTTGTTAAAGTTTGTACAATCAGTGGGATCAGTTGCAATGCATATATGTGAATGATAAAAGTAAATTGCACATTTGTCGAAGGAAATGTAAGGTGCTTCATGAAAT